CACGCCGCGAACAGCCCGCGCAGCTCCGCACCCTCCGCCATTCCCGCCCCGCCCCGGCGCTGAGGGGAGGCACAGCCCGCCCCGCCCCGCGGCTCCTCCTGGCGCTGGGGGCGGGGGCTCGGAGCCCGCCACAGGTGTCTGGACGGCGGCCACGACACCGGAGAATGCTTGGTTGTAGCTGTGTTGGTCTCAGGTCCGAGGCAGACCAGGCTCTTGGGGTCCACGGGATCTCCCTCTTTCATTAAACCAACTTAGCAGTCGGAAAGATCGGTTTCTTGCGAGGTTTCGGGCACAAACGCCCTTCTTCAGGTGCGTACGCCCGAAAAGAAGAAGGTACCCAGGTTGTAGCCGTGCTGGGCTAGAAGCAAAGGGAATCAAAACTCCTGGCGGAGGGGATATCTTTTGTTAGACCAGCTAGATATTTGCAAAAAAATATATTTATTTCTTTTGCAAAAATCTAGTTTCTCTAATAAAAGACATCACTTCTGCCATCGGCAACGTGTAGGTGAGGCACAGAGGGGTCACGTTCCCCACCCCCATCGGCCACCGCCAAAGCTATCGCTGACCTCTGTGGGCGGTCGCTGCCCCCCACCTTGCCACCGACGTGGTCGTGGGTGGCTGCAGGTGGTCCCCACTTGCCGACCATGACAGCACGACCAGCCGCTGTGGGCAATCCCTGCCCACCACTTGCCCCTGCCGTCGACACCACCAGCAGCGGCTGTGGGTGGTCCCACTCGCCACCACCAACACCAGTGCCAGTGGCTGCAGGCAATCCCAGCTCACTGCCACAGTCCCCCCCAGTCGGAGGCACCAGTCGTTCATGACTTCTGCAACAGTTTTTGCTTCCAGAAAGAATGGTGTTTGTGCCCAAAAGCTTGCAAAGAGCAGTCTTTCCAATTACTGAGCTTATCTAATAAAAGAGATCACATGGGCACAAAGGTTCTGGTCTGCCAAGAAATGCTTGGACCCTTTTGGTAGCAAAGAGACTTTTCTGAGGGAGCTCTGACTCCTTTGGGGGGCAGGGTGTTTCTCCCCATCCCCAGCCTTCAGCCTCTCCTGAGGTAAAGATGAGCTTTGAAAAAGGAGCTGGGAGTAAGGCACCACCCTCAGCCTCGCTGGAGGCTCCTTCACCCCCTAAGAAGAGCTTCCCACCCCCATGATCAAGAACTGCCCATAAGGGCATCTGGGGGGAGGCTGGAGCCTGAGGGCCTGGGAAGAGGGGAGGGTGAGGCAGTTTTTTGGGAAGGAGAGCATGGCAGGGAGCTCTTTTCTGGCACCGGTGACCAGGTTGGGGTCACTGAGACAAGCTGGGGAATGAGGGCTGCATTTTGGTGGGGGGGGCTTTGTCTTTGGATCAGCCACTGAACATCAGGAGAGTCTTTGGTCTTGCACAGAAAGAGACCCAGGGCTGGATACAGAGGGGTGGGAGTAAGGAGCCTGGCAGTGCTGGCTCCTGCCCTGGCTCCCAGCTTCCCTCCCACCCCTTCCCCCTGCTCCTCACTCCACCAGAGGTGCGGATTAGGAAGGCCCAGAAGGGAATGGTTTAAGAGCTCTGGTGCATTCAAAAGCAGGTAACTGCTGTAGTCTAAGAACAGGTGACAGCCCTCTTCCACCTCCGGAAGAGGGCAGTCACCTGAAATGCATAAAACTTTCAACATGTCCATCATCTTAGCGCCCGTCCCTTGCAAAAATAAAAGTCAGCCTATGCCGTCCACCCCTGTTCCTAGCCCCTTCCCCCTGCTCCCCGCCCAGGGGGCAGGCAGCCAGCACAGCAGGAGCAGCAGTTAAGGACTTAGGTGCCAAGGAGGATAAGCTTTCTTCCCCTCCCCTTCCATGTTCAAAGACACATCCCCTTCCCCTCCCATTCCTCCCCCCCTCCTGTCTGCCACTGCCGGATGCTGTCCTGGGAGCGAGACAAGCTCCTGCCTGTTCCAGCTAAGCTGCACTCAAGGCAGCAGTGGCAGTGGCCTGCTCCTGGGCTGGCAGCATAAGGCAAGGCACCTGCCCATTGCCAGCAGTCCAGGACTGAAGGCAACCCAGCTGCGGCAGGTGGGAGCTCACGTCCCACCAGGGTACAGTCTCAGTGGCAGGCAAGGGAGGAGAGGGAGAGGGAAGGGGACTGCCTTTGAGCAGGAAGCGGGGAAATGATTTTTTTCTTAAATCCTGGCATGGTCAGAAAGGGGGAGTGCGGCCATGCCACTAGACCCCTCTGGATCCACCCCCGCTCTTAAACTACTACAGTCACAAGCTTTTGAATGCACCCAGGGGGAGGAAGGGGCTCTTAAACCATTCCCTTCTAAGTATTTGAGGCATTAGTAGGGGGCAGGTTGGTATTACAGAAGCATTGGTTTGAAAAGCTTGGGAACTCACCAGCAGCCATTCAGAGGCTGTTTGCTTGCTGAATCATTTCCTACTTAGGCTTCAAACAAAACTCAGGTTGATTTTTTTCCAATTCCTGAAAAACGTTGAAGTGTAAGATTCCCAATAGCAGTAAGCTGGCAAGGTTTTCCTTCTAGTTTGTTTTGAAGTAGCTTCTCAAACACTATGTGAAATGTGCTGTTCATTCTCCAGGCTGCTATGTTAAAAAGTACTTTGGAAAAAGTTTAATTTTTCAAAGTGTACATTGATCAAGGGTAAATCCTAATATAGCTCATCTGATTTTGAAAGCACTGTGATAGTTTTAAGAATCATCATGTTTCAATGAAGTGCTGGTAATGTTAGCTCATTCTCAAATGTGTAGGGCATTTTCCACTATCCAAAGCACGATTTATTACTTCTAAGCAGCCTTGTAATAAAGTTTATGCAAGAACATGCATAATAAACACTCAAATACTCCCATAAAGAAAGTGGAGGGAGAGAATATGTCCTCCCTGAGACATTATGAAGGGACAAGGGAGAACACACAACTACATTTTCGAAGTAGGTAATGAAAAATTGATAAAAGGAAATGCATTCCTACCTAATTTGTATTTAAAGTGTAGAACTTCCTTGCCACAGAAAGTTGTTGAGGTCAAGCATGTTGTAGGTTTGAAAAGGTTTTGGATATTTTAGGCAGATAACAGGAGTATCTGGAGTTGCTATAATTGGTAACAACAAACATTTTGAAGAGATAGTAAAGCTTGTGACTAAGGTTTCCTTCTGCTGCAGTAATTAAAAACTGTTCAAAGCCTACAAAGGATGGAAGGGGCAGTTATTCTCATATCATCCTCTAAGCATATGGTCCTGGTCACTCTTGAAAACTAAATTAATTGGACACTGGACTAATCCAGAATGTTGCTGTTTTCAGATCTATTCATTCATCTTCACTTGTCTGGGATTTAGCATCAAAATCAAGTGCATGACTATATGTCATTTCAAATCTATGTACTTTATTTAAAGATGGCAAATTGTTCCAATTTAGATCTAGGTAAGTCACATTATATTGCCCAATCAGTTTCTATGCAAATGTATTGAACTTACATTTCACAAGATGATTAACAGATTCACATAAGTTTAGATATTAACTTAAGAGTGTGAAGACCTCAGTGTCCATTATTCATTATCAAAGCCCAAATAAAATGTAAAGGATATGAATATGAGAGTTCCCCTATTTTAAAATATCACTCATTAAAATGTCAAATCAACAGAAACAATGTTTTTAGGAAAAATGCATACAGATCACATAGTAGTTTCAAGTATCTGTATACCACAGTCTTACTCCAGAACTTCATTTGTTTTTTTTGTTTACTTTTGAATTCTTTGGTCAAGTCCAAAAACTTCTGGTCCCACTGAAGTCAGAAATAAAACTCTAACTTACCTAAGGCAGAGATTTAGCCTTTTTTACTCAGCAAAATCTAAGTCGTAGAACAAATAAGTCCCGCCTCCTCCATATTTGGTGGCCCACCAAATATTGAAATGATGAGTCAGCTTGAGTACGTGTGAAGAGCTGTCACTGACAAATAAAGGAGAGCACTGCGGCAGACTGCAGTTGTTCAGTCATCAAAAGGAAACAGACTTATCTTACTTTTTCCACCCAGCCATTGCTGAGAGAAATTTCTAGACATTGACTTTTGATGCTGGCACCATGTTGAACTAAATTACATTCCTCTTATCTATGGGTTGAACGTGCTTTACCAGACAGCAATCTGGTGCCTAAATCAATGTGAATACATTTTGTTTGTCTTTGTTGCCACATGTTGTTTGACTAGGTTATGCATGTTTGTAATCTTGTATCTTGGGCTTTGTCAGATTCACCCCTTTAAAGTTATATACCTTCAGTAGTGTCAAGTACACGTACCTGGTTATAATACACTTTGGGTCTTATGATCCAATACTAGCAAAGAATATAAAAGGTAACAAGAAAACATTTTATAAATACATCAGTAGCAAGAGGAAGTCAAGGAAATTGCTGGCTCCTACTCATAAGGAAAGCTAGTAAGAGATGATAGCAAGAAGGCCAAAATGTTCTGTAAAAATCTTAAGTTTGATCAGAGGAGTAATATAATTAGCTTCAATAATAAGGGGGGAAGGAACTCAGGCTAGAAAATAGAAACTAATTAGAAAAGTAAATGTTTTCATATCAGCTGGACAGATTTCACCCTGGATGAAGCAGTCTCAGAGTTGTTAGCAATTATCTTTTGAGAACTTCTGGAGGTCAAATGAAGTTCCAGAAAACTGAAAAAGGGCAGCCATAGTGTCTATCTTTAAAAAAGTAGGAAAAGAGGACCCAGGGAATTACAGACCAATCACTCTAGCTTCAATTCCTGGAAGAGTACTGCAAAAAATAATCAAAGTGTAAGCTCCTGTAATAAC